AGTTTTGTTAAAATACATTCAATTAGACAATTACTAGGAAACATAAAACAAGTGACAAGGATAAGAGTGTCTCGAAGACAAATATGTATGGGTTTAATACATAAATGGAAGGATAGGGAAGAAGGTGAAATTTAACACGCGAGAGTTCTCACGCGGGTACGCTAGTTCCACACGAGTATTAGAGTGGATTGAGCACATTTGTATGTTATATCACTCACAAGGGTATTGGCATTCTACAGTAACGGTATGCAAGGGAACACAATATATCTACAATACCATACGACTTTGTGCGCCGAAGGACGCTAGTTCTTCTCATTTGGACGGAACACACGGGCCATTTGCATCTGCATGTTTTTCCTGGCCGTACCTTGCCCCTCGCTTGACGACGCAACTCCATGAGAATAATGCATGTTTGTCATGAGTGTTGCATAACTTACGACGAGCAAGACTCCGTGACACCTATAAAACTTGCACGTCTATCGCTATAAGTTGCTCGTAGTAAAACAGAACAAAAAGCGAGGCCACAAAATGCTTAAGCCTTTCGATTATTCACAAAATTCGTCTCGAAACAGTTTATTCCATTCTTTCCCTTTCTGCGACAAATGTCGGGAATTATCGGTTTTTGTAATTCAAAACAGCAAATTATACACTTGGGTATCTTTTTCCTACACAAGTTTTATTTTTTGCATAGAATGATCATTATATTTCAAATTTATACTTAATGTACTAATTTAATGTTCGGTGAACATTTTTATAAAAACCTCTATATTATATTTTGAACCGACTGGGCACCATGTCGACTCCGTGGCGCAACGGTAGCGCGTCTGACTCCAGATCAGAAGGTTGCGTGTTCAAATCACGTCGGGGTCAGCATAATTTTGCCTCGTATTTGTAGAAGTACTTGAAATAAATGACAACAGTTTGTCACGTTACTATAAGAAAAGTCTATGGTATTACTTTAACATATCATCTCATCGTTATCTGTTTATTTCTTTCTGCTATCATACATTATGTTCAAAAATATTTGTGCCAACATTTAGTAAATGTCTCCCTCTTTTTCTCGATTATTATGTTGAGTAATCCAAAATATAAACTATATCCCAGAACCTTATAAACTTACAAGTACAAAGCAAGAGATGAAATTTTGTTAAATGAACTCCAACAACTGCATTGAAAGGTATAACAATATTCGCGCAAATTTTCTATTGTGAGGCAGAGTCAGAATTAAGAATACAGGTGAGCATTTACGAAAACAAATACGAGATTAATCATTCATTAATTCTCCCATAACCCTAATATGTAATTCCTGTGTATTGGCTAAAATCTATGCTTTAACATATTTTAGACATATCCTGTTTCTGTTAGTAAGATAAAAGCGTAGCAAGTACAAACATATTCCTCCAACATACTTCCCTTGATAAAACGAAACAAATACTTCGACAATAAAGCCCTTGCAGTACAAAATGAAATTATTTTGAGCGCGTAGTAAAGAGGTCAGTAACATTTCTCGAGAATTCGTATTATCTAGGGCAGGGTTTCTCACACAGGCGTAGATATCGACCACACGGGATCGAACTTTGTGAACAAAATGCGTACACACTGTGTAGAAATTCGAGGCGTCTTTTTCATGTATTAAAAAGTTGTCAACATATAGGTACAATCAAAGCGATTTAAATATAATTTAAGGAAGGACGTAGTTAACTGTAAATTTCAACTCACAGAAATACATACCCTGTAAAAGTCAGACGGAGGAATATCAGATTCCACTTTCCATACTATGATGGAATTTATTGGATTTAATATTATTAAATAATTAAATTGTATCAATTTCCTTGGTTAGTATATGATTCTTTCGTGATTATGAACTACACTTAAGTTGAGAAGATAAAGAAACATTTAGTGTTCGTAAGTAACCTGCATTTTCGCTAAGGGCCTATTTAACTTCAACAGAAATTCTTAGTTTTGTAGTATTTGAAAATTACAAGGAATTGCTTCGTTTGATCTGTACTTTATATCGAAATTATAGCGAATCGATAAACAATTCGGACGAGACATTTTTCTTATTCACAGAGAAACATTTTTGTATTTTAAGCCCACAAAACATACATTACTTGTTTAATATTAGACATATGGCTTGATTGAGCTCGATTGATGATTGAGCTCGAAACACTAAATTAAGTTCGGCGTCACTTGCCAAATTAGTTGAAAGAAATGAAGTTAATGATACGGTATCTTAACAAATATTTGTCGTTGAACTACTTAATTGCATTTAATATCACGATTTTAACAAAATTTCCATTTTATTTGGTACGCAGAGAAAGCGTCTTGAACAAAGGTATACGAGGTCAGAAAATTTTAGAAATCAATGCTTTTGTAATAAATTAATTATTCCATTTTTAAAATTTACGGAAATTTACAACAATGCCATAGTCTTTATGTGCTTCACTACTTCTACAGCACGTGCAATTTTTGGAATACTTTTGTTCTCGAAATATGTTTTGTTGGGCAAGAGAGGCTGGAAATGTTACCGCACTAATCTTCGGATTCTGGAGGAGGAAAAGGGTAATCGATAAATGATTATTTTCCTATTTAGAAAAACAAAGTTAAGTTCATTTGTCACTACTATGTATTAAGCATTAATATTTTTATCGGTTAATACAAATTCCGTATTTTTCCAAGAAAAAAATATTACGGTAGTAATTAGTCCTATCGCATATTTTCAAACGCTTTGAAATCGTGTTATGGATTTGGTAACTTTGATCTATCCCTTATTTTCTTATGTGAGTACTGCACTTGGTGTTTATTATTCATAGGATAAAAAACGAAGAAGAATTTGAAGCATGAAAGAAACACGTTGATTCAAATCGCGCGCCGATTGCTATTCCGTTTTGGTTAGTTTTAACACTATTATATTTCATTAAAAAATGATAATCTGATATTGTGTCAAAGAGATCTGCGATCTTTTAACACAGTGATAATGTTATGGTTCCTTCTCTTTCTTGGCATATTTAATGTAGAACTGAAATTTATCATTTGTCTTCACAGCACTTTAATAGAAGCAGCATTTTCCTGAATTAGAAACTGCACACAGCATGTAAATCCTTAAAACTCCAGAATATATATGTATAAAAAAAAGTTACACCAATAAAATGTGTTCAATAAGAGAGGAGCGGAATGTACATTGTTTCCAATGTACATGGGTACTACAATTGATATTACTCAAAATGTATTTTGTTGGTATTTATTAGTTATTATTGAGCTCTATAGAGTAGAGTAATTTCAGGCATTTTTTAACAGAATAATCTAGGCAATTGGGATAATAAATCTTCAGAGCAAAATTTGAATTATTTCTAATAAAATGATAATTGATTCTAAAAATAAATTCAGATTTAATTTCATATATTTATTAAATAAACATATGGACCTTTTTTGGAAGCCATCTTTTTCTTTTCCTTCATAGGTTACCTTCAGTTTTCCTTCATTCACAAGATAAATAATAAGCTATCTATATTACTAACTTCCAATGCATGAGAAAATTGAAAAAAAAACTAGGTTGTCTCCAGCTATGAGAGAAGTGTCAATGGTTTCACTAGATATCACATAGAAACTTGGGGAAAAATCCAAATATCTATGGAACAGATTTAATTTTGACAGCAAAATGCATTCTGATTGTGTTACACTATGTTTTTGTTAAAATATTTAATTTACCGCAGTGCCATACAAGAGTATTTTAATTTTTCTGGAGCAGTAAGAATGCTATCTTTTAGAAAACCATCTTCGGTGGTTTTGTTCAATAATTGCTGCTGCAGATCACTAGTTATTACAAAATACTATATTTTTTAATTAACTGCATTGTGTTATATTATTTTAATTGTTTAAAGAAAACCAAGATTATGTCCCTTTATAATGCCTGAATGTTAAGATACTTTGAGCAGCAGCACATGTCATTAATTGATGATTGGTGAAGCACTTGAAAGGACATTTACAGAAGTAATTTTTTTTCTGGTGAAATATAATTTAAGTAAACTAAATGTACCCATGGTTAAATCAATAGGTTGAGTGTAATGAATCATGTAGCAAGTGCAATCGTCTACACATTAAATTGCTATGAACAAAATTCTTATCGAAGGGGCTCATGGGGCTTCAGTCTTTAAAAATCATTTAATGCTTTTAGGCAAGTGCAAAATATTGCAATAAAACAAAAAGTAATTACATGTAATGTTTTTGTGTAATATTTCATCAATAAAATTGGAAGTTTTGATTTCAGTTGATGGTTAAAAGAAATACATTAAAACTAAACATCAGCTCCAATTTCATATACTTTATATACATTAAATAATGCATTTATTAGAACTATTCGTTTCACCAGCATAAATTGTACCAAGAGATTTATTATGAAATGGTAAACAAAATATCTAGAGACCATTTTTCTGGTTTTTTAAGCATTTCTAAAAAAAACTTTTATGAAACTTTAATTGCAGAACATTTTGAACTGAAACTAGGCCTGGCCGCTTCATGCCTCTTCTGTAAAGGATGCTTCATCACTCAAAATCTCCAGACTGCAGATACAGAGCAGTCATTTTTAGAACATGAATTAACAGAACTGAATCACGGGAGTTTTGAGTTTTAAGTTTTAAGCATCAACAATTTTTCTTTTCCCCTGTCGTATAGTACTCTGTTTCACTTATATCACCAAAAGGTATGCGGACTTTGCTAGCTGATCTTGCTCACAAAATATGTTTAAAATCTAACTCAATTCTAGAGCATTTTGTTACAAAATTTCCTAAGAGATTTTTTGTTCTGGACAATACCCAAGAGTTGTTGGTAAAGGGTTCATGTGGATGAAATATATTAACTGTCACACATACAAGATGATCCGAGTCTTTGTTTAAAACAATGGATTTTAAAAACTAACTTCTTTTTATAAAACTTCCGAAATCTTAATGAATAACCTAAACAAATTTAAACTAATAACCGTTAATAGGATATAAGGGAAAAAAACAATACACACACATTTAAAGATTTCTTATTTACTGTCATGGATACAAACTTCAAAATTTTTATCAACATATTACAGAATATATACAGCAGTCTTACAATAAAAAAAAGAGGAGGGTTACAAATGCAGTTTTGTCAAGTACAATGTATCACAAGCCATTATGAAATTGTTTTGATTTAACTAGAAATGTGTCTTTACATTAGCTAGAATATAACTTTAAAAAATATATTCACAGACGCCTTCCATCAATGAAAATTTCCATCAAGTGAAAATTTTGCGCATAAATTATTTACATTCCACAATAACAATTTCCAGCACTGATATGCTAAAAATTGCCTGTCTCTTTCATAGGCTTTTGAAGCAAAAAATGTAAGTCATAATTACTGAAAAATCAAAGAAATTTAAGAACAAAGAAAAGAATGTACAAATATATACAAAATAACGGACAATTTCATAAAAAATTTACAGATGTCCAAGTATTTATATACTCTAATGCACACATAGATATAAAAGTACAAATATCAATAAAAATGCAATTAATTTGCAAAATTGGATCTTAAATGCTTAGCCTGAAATAGGAATGGTTACATCTGTTCCTCTTTTTCAGTAAAACCATCATAAGACTCAACTGTACAATTAAGGACTCTAAGAGCTATCTTATATTCGTCAAGAAAGAGAAGCAAGTACAGGTACAAGTCAAAACTCTGCTTTGACAGCATTCGATTTATCGTAATTTCAATTTAGGCCATGAAAGAAAAAGGAAGGCAAAGAAAAAACCCTATGTAAAAAATTTTGTAATTGAAAAGGACGAATATTTCAACATAAAATTGCACTTTCAATGCGAGAGAACCAAATACTACAACATGGATCAGAAATTACACTGGAGGTCACTTTACTTATCACAGAACAGGAATGTCAGCCATTCCTCATTTCTATATGTACAATACACCTAAACTCTTTATACAATATACACATAATTGTTGTAAAATGGACATATTACATTGACAATGAATTGAAATTTAGAGTAATAAAATATTAAAAATTACATGAATTTACACAGAGCTACAATCAAAAGAGTATTTGATCATGAGAGACTAATATTCCATTATCATGTCCATAAAAATAAGGCATACAAATAGAAACAGCTCACAAAACCAACTACTACATGACTGACTATATGGCAAGGAATCTTGAAAGACTATCTTTTCTTGCACCGTACGTGTTTAGTAAAAGCACCTTTTCTGTCCGATAGAATCATTGTTCCTTAGAAGGCCAATCATGGAATGTAATGATTTTCTAAGACCTTCCAGTAGAGCTATCATATCTATACAACTTACCAGCAACTTTAAATGACTCCACAAAATGTGATGCAACACTTCTTTAGTCACAAAGTCATTTAATGCAAAATTGGCCAGTGTCAAAATTCCAATTCTTCCATTGTGCGTGACAGACGATTATTATCAATGCGGCGTCTCTGAGAACGTCTTACAGCATCAGCACGCCTATAGGGCTCACTCTTAAGGCCTAAAAGAATGTCTTCCAATGCACCATTGTACACTTCATCTTGGTGTAATAGCTTCTTCTCTTGGACAAGTCTTGTCTTGTACTTCAGCTCATTTATCACAGCCTCCTGCATTAAGGAAAAATATACTGGTGAGAATAGTCAGCATATATAAATGTAAACTATAATAATTACCATGATACATCAATCAATCCTAACAGCCACAAAAACATTTGAATTACTTTCAATAATTATTTTCTATCTGTTTCCCAACTGTGACATCACTAACTAAATAAACATTACACCAAATAAAAGCAAATAGCATGAAAAGCTAAGTGGACATGCTAAGACGAATTGTGCATTCTAGAAATATTTACATGTACCAAGAACCAGGAACACCCAAGCAACTTGTGACACCACGTTCGGAAAATCAATTGCTAAAAATACATCATTCTTTTAAGAAAAAGAAAAATTAAAATTGTTTCAATGGTACTTTACAGTCCAAGATTTTTGATGTACAATTCAATTACTGATTATGTATGCTACGTTATATCATATGTTCTAACATCAAAATCAGAATTTCTATTAAATTTTTCTCTGACAATTACTTTTTTGAACAAATTTTAAGTTCTTTATTCACATTTGAAACTGAGTTAGGGTTTGAAATGCTGGTTGTGTCAGCACTAATGCACACAGTTTTGAAGTGAGAAGAATTCAACATAACAGTCATTACTCTAAGAGTGAAGGGCGTTTGGAGCCTGTGTGTTTTATTGCCTGCCTAGTGCAATCAAATTCAGCAAACTGCTACCACCACTACTACTGCTGCTGTTGCTACTACTACTACTTCTACAAAGATTTTTTTATTAAATAATAATAATAAAAAAAAAAAGAGGTAAGTGTAATGTACTGGTTGTGATAGAGAAGAGTATGTTTCTTTAATCTTGTTTTGGCTTGTGAAGTGCTACAGAGAGTAATGTGTTTATTATCAGACCAAAAGCTGACAAATATCTTTTTTCCCCAAGTTAAGAACTGAATGGTGTTTAATATTAACTCTTAACTCGAATATTCCATTTGCATCCACAATTTCAAGTAGCAGAACTTCCAGAACTTCCAAGTTTGTTTTTTAACAACACACTTTCCTTTCTGTGCTGAAAGTTATACTATTACACCGATATGAACACCAAAGTGCTCTTTTTCCCACCAGTAGCCTTACTTCCAATGCAAGTGCTTCCGCAACCCACAGTGCTCCCACTTTACCGCATTTTATGATAAGCAGACGCATCCGACACTTACAACAATACAGATTATTAAAACCCCGTCTCCGGCAGAAATTCTCGACGAGGTGAGGTAAACTTGAAGTTACGTCCTGGATGCTGCATCTTTACACGACACATTAATATCACTTAATTATCACACATTATTTTTCAATACTGGGAGAAGCCACCACAAAGTGAGGAAGTTATTAAAGATCAAAAATTAAAATGCAACTAAATGAATTTATGAATTATAAATATATTAGGAAGCAGAAGACGCACAGGATTTACAAGTTAACATTTGCCCAAACTAAGACTAATTTTCTATGTTAAATTGCAATACAATACAAAAAATATATTTATGGGGTTCATTTGATATTACCTGTTGTTTCTTCTGATTTAGTTTATTACGCTTTGCAACTTCCTCATTAGGTTTATTTAGTGCTTCCAGAGCTGCCTGCTCTAGTCTCTGACGCTGCTCATTTTCTTGGTCAGCCAACTGTGAAGCATTTTAGGTATTAGAAATCTATCAATCCTTTATATAACAGTAAGAGATACAATTCGGACGAATTGGAACATTGAGATTTCTTTTTTGCTTATTAATTGGAGTGATTTTACTTCAGTAAGTGATACATAATAATGCAACAAACATAAATATGGTACATCAAATGAAAGGGCAGCCAACAAAGGTCTTTTTTAAAAGAATTAATAATTTAGTACTTAGAGGGATATGTTGTTTATATTACACGAAAATTGAAATTGAAAGATGTATTTATAAGAAAGATTTAAAGAATTTGGATAACAGTATCAAATATTGCAATACAAAAGAAAGAAGTAAGTTTTTACTATTCAAATTTGCAAGTGCAGAAACAGTATTTAGTACAAAAAAGATCTTTCATGACTTTTCATAATTGTGCATTATTAAAAGACTTACTATTTATTTTCAGTATAGATTGAAAACCTTGTCATAGAGAAATGACACAATTGTTACAAATTGCCCAATAACTTACCTTGAAAGCACGGACAAACCGAACTAGAAGCGAGAAGAAGGTATTAGCATCTGTGGTGCGTGGGGATTCTCCAAAGTACTCGACACACTCTCTGAAAGCAGCTTGGGCACTCCCTGCATCTACTTTTAATTTACGGAGTTTCTCCTCTGAATTAGCAAGGAAGTCTTTCAATACAGTATTATGGCGTTCTTTACCACCACGCAACTCTAGTTCTTTCCTCACTAAATCCATTCCTTTTTCTAATTCATGCACATCTGTCATGATATTTTCAAGAGACACTGCAAGCGTAATAAATAATAATAATATTGAAAAAATGGAACCAATACATTTTAAGGTAGCAGATATTGAATATTTCAATCAAAGTGCTCCAACTTATAATACATACCAATAGCAGCCTTCTCTATGTACAATAATTCTGCTTCAAAATGTAGTAAATCAGGAAATTTCCGCCGGATGGTATCTGCAATGTAATGTAGGAGGCACATACGTTTGTCAGTTGATTTTGTATCCAAAAGAGTGTCCAATGACTGCAGTTTGAAACCATAAGCTGGACCTCTTTTACTGCTGTTTAAATAGTTTCCAAAAGCTAAAATGATTTCTAATACTCTGCGCAACTTTTTGGAACTTTTGACAGAACTTGAAGCAGAAATAATAGCATGAATTTGCTGTAAAAGAAAATTACATTTGAGAAAGATATTTCTATATTTATGCAGAGTTAGATAATTCATTAATTATAAATACACAAAAAAGCTAAACAAAAAAATATAAAAGTACCGGTGTAATCAAATGAAGATTATCGAAGAAATTGCCCACATAACTCATGATGCTGAGTTTTGCTGATATTCTTTCCACTTTTCCAAGTTGAAGAAGGAATTTATCTTCTTCTGTCAGGAGGTTAACACTTTTCTTTGAACCTACATATTCTCTATAAGCTTTTGTCTGTAACAAAAGCACAATACAGGACATCAATGAACAATGGGTACTTGGTTTCAAAGTGAACTGAACTGATACAGAATACAGTATTTTAGAGCAGTGCACATACCTCTTGATCTGTAGGGACCATGCGTTGCAAAATCTCTACATTTTCTAGACAAAGCACTTTGAGATCCAAATTATTAATAGCCATAATGACTTTTTCTACTGGCATTTCCAATTTCCTTCTGGATATAGCTGTGAAGAAAAATTATAGTAACACACATGAAGATTAGGAAATAAAGTATTTTGATTGAAATCAGCTCTGCTACTATTATTGTTCATTTGGAGTAAATCAACATTTAAATCCTTGACATGCTAGCATATAATAATATCCAGCTTCAAGAGCCTCTGGTTTTTAGAATTAAAATCCACTTACCAATATTTCGAAGTCTGGTATGCTCCAATAATGACACATTCTCTGGTTTCTTGAATCTCTTACTTGGGAAACTGCTCAGACCATCAACTTCGGATGCACCATTAGTCAGAGGTCCTCCAAGACCAATTTTGAACCTCTCTTCGAAGTCCACAAAGTCAATGACACCATGTAATCTGTCATCATCGAGTTCATTGAATATTGTTCCTCGAACCTGCAATTAAGACACACGAATATTAATAAGCACTTTTTACATAGACTGTAAATCACTGGAGCTACTCAAACCCTAACATTACAAAGTATACTTCAACCCAAGGGCATAGTGTAGATGGGAGTCAGATAATTAGATATAAACTTCATAACTTTTTAGAACAACCGTTGCCTTTCATTATCACTAAATTCTAAGGAATTATTTCGGCTTGCAAACTGTCATCACGATTTGTACAATGCATTTGTATGTAATTCACTCAATTCGCATATTTGTAGCTTCCTGGGGATGCATCAGTTCCTTGGTATAGAAGAATCAGTACAGAAGCGGATCCAGCCAAATTTTTTAAAATTTTATTTTTTATTTTTAGGAGGAGGGAGATAATAGATTTGTGTTAAATAACACACATTTGTTATTATATTGTAAATTATTTATGTAGAATGATACTATACAATTTTGTTTAAATAATTACACAATTCAAACCTACAATTATATGAGTCAATTTTGCCAAATTCAGGAAGGTAAATGAAAACTCCTTTTTTGGGAGGGGGGAATGGAACCCTGCACCCCTACCCCTGGATCTGCCAGTGAATAGGCAGAGGATATACAAACAATGCACCCTCCATTCATTTTCTGGAGGAACCCTTTGTTACATGTATACACAATATTTTATTTAAATTTTGCATTGCTAGACTTGGGATGCGAGTGGAAATCAACTCCATACGTAGAGATTTATCCACACAAAGTCTTCATGTGGTGATATGCTGGAATAGTCACTACCATAATCACAGAACTTCATTTTCTACTGTACAATGATTTCTACATCAATGTTTTTCAGCCTACCCTGGAATAGAAGAGATCAATTGATGGGAAAGTATTAATGATGAAACAATGTAAAATAATGGAAAAAGGGAGAAACGAGGGACGGGGAAAACAGAATCCCAAGACAACCTGTTGCACACCCACTTTGTCCACCACAAATTCCACAAGGATTGACTGATAACAAGAATCCCAGACCCAGTGGTGGAAAGCAAGTCATTCAATAGACATATCACCGGCTACCTCTTGATCCTTCATTGTTTCCTATTTTTCCTATCTCCCTTTAATCGACTCACCTGATTAGGCTTCAGCGCAATCCAATTCAATGTAGGTAACTTGTACTTAGTCTGCACCTTCCTCTTGATGGTCATCGCCCCATCAGGCGCCTGCATGAGGCCTGCGGGAGGAGGGGGAATGGGGGCCCCTGGGATAAAGGGGACGCCCTTGCCCGGCGCACTCGGAGGCGGGGGTGGGCAAGGCGGGGGAGGGGGCGGCGCAGGCGCAGGGGGTGCTGCTGGAGGCATGGGCGGAGGCAAGGGTGCAGAACTACTCGCATCGACTGGGTCTGTAACACACACAATTTGCAATGAGTTAAAGGAAACAATCTGAACAACAATGCTTCTCTCTTCAGGATAGGATTTGTTTCTGAATATGAATAACAGTTATTGTATTTATCAAGTTATAAATTTTACCAGAAGGTGAGCGAGGTAGAGTTCGGGTCAATGTTTCCAATTCCATTATTTTTGTTTCCAAAAGGGATTGGCGATTTTGAGATTCTTGTTGCTGCTGCATTACAGCTCTTCGCAATGTGTTGACTTCTTCATCAACTTGTCTCCTGTCTTCTAGCAACGCATCTCGCTCAGCCTTCACTGCTCCCAGTTCGGTCTCTAGTTCTGCCAGCTTTGCAAGAGATTCACGTTCAACCTCTGCCAACCTTTCATTGGCCTAAAAATTGAGAAACTACTTTTAACAGGTTTTCATTTAACAAGTAAAATAAACAATAACATTTGACCATATTAAGCTCGAGTGGCTTTCACAAACTGAAGTCGCTATCATGTGCTTTTTGCTTCAAATATTAGCAACTTACGATCATGTAAATGTAACATGATAATTCAGTTACAAACAAAACAGGTCAATAGCAATGAGAAGAAAATTACCTTTAAAGTAAAAATTATAAAAGACCGTAACATTTTGGGGGAAAATTGAAAAATTTCACTCACATGGCCTAGTTCATCCTCAAGTTCTGCAACTTTTTCAAGTGCAGCAGTCTTTGTTTCACTGTCTTCCATAAGAGCAGCTACATCAAATACATTATCCAAGTATGCGGAGATTTGTACCTGTAAAAAACACAATCGATCATTAATTTCCGCTACAGATGTTAGTGAAGAATTTCAACAAAAGCAGCTTTGACACAGGTTTAACTAATGGGCACACTGAAAATGATAAGATCCAAAAAACAGTTTTAAAAATTAATATTTAATAATCAAGTAATCAAGGTAATAATTCTTACCTGTAATTCTTCACTTTCTGTGTGTCTCAACTTCTCTAGGTAGTCATCCAAACCTAGTTTTGTAAACTCATACTGCAGATGAACCCTGAAGTTCATGTCCTCAACAGAATGAACTACTATATTAACAAACTGCATACACGCCACCTAAGACCGAAAATTGATTAGAGAAACTGTCAAAGTTTAGAACATTACCGTAAGATGAAAGGAAAGTACATAGCTTACCATAAATTCAATATGGAAGACTTGATAGTTAATAAAATAATCCATGAGAGTATGAAATCTTTGAGATTCATGGCAGACTTCCTTGAAGTTGTCAAATGCTGAAAGAATGATTTCATGGCCTCCTTTGACTAGACAGATTGCTGCTAGCAATTCAAGCACCAAAGCTTTTGTTCTACATGTGGAAAAAACAGTTTGAGGATAAGAACATTGATTACCTTGAGATTATTAATTCACAAGAAAAGAATGGAAAAAATATCTTGAATTCTCAACCAACCTGAGACTTTTATGCATCAGACTAAAAGCTATACAATTAATAGCTTCTCGGTGCTGTATTACCATGTTGAAGCCATACTATAAAGAAATGTTAATTAATACAGATGACACTATCACACATGCACTAGAGATTTCCAGTATTTGTAATGGAATGAATACAGAACAGGAGGTAACAAACCTTGTTATTCATGATTGCTCTCAAACACATAATACACACATGTATATCATCTTTTGCTTCTCCCATATTAAGTTTTGCAACATGTCTTGTTCTTCTTCGAATTCCAGGGCTATCAAACACTTCCAAGGAGGGCCGTAAATAACCATTATGGCTCGGACTACTCGCTGAACATTGCACAAAATTAAGTGTCATCAGATTAAGTGCATCCCTTATCCAATTTTCAACAAAAGGCAAAACTGACTGTCAGAATAAAGGCCAATGAAGATTATTTTGTATACTCACTATGGCCAGAAGCAGAACCACTGCCGTTTAGACGTTCTTCTGAATTATTTTGTGATTCTGATATTCTCTGTTCATGCCTCATCATCATCAAACGGAAGCTAAGGTATTCAATTAAGTGGTCTAATCCTTGGTTTTCATCATTCAAGAATTCTCTTACCCACCTAAAAGATGGTGAAACATATGATAAGAAATGAAAGGTAAGCAATCTCCAAAGTATATAATTTTGAAGAATAGTTATAAATTACAAAATTAATTTTCGCGAAGTATGTGTGATAGACACCAATGGTGGTTTCGGAGTCAGAAATGGAATAAATGTGCAAGAGTGTGAATAAATCATGAAGAAATTTGACTACCAATACAACCTTAACACTATTTCTTTAAATTTCAAGATATACAGTCTGAAAAAAAAGATTTTAAGCCGATACAGCCTTTAAGTCCATTCACTACAAGGATTCAAATAATAGTTACAGTGAACAATACACACTACTGATAATAATAAATATAAATAGTAAATATCTGTTAAGAAATATTTATTAAAACTCTATAAAATTCAAAACTGGGGTAATAATTGTATAAGAGACTCTTTCAATAATATTCTTCATAGGAATTTCAGAGGGATCAACAGAAACCAAGTTTAAAACTACTTATCTTCTCTAAACACTATTGTAAGCAAGACTTACTCAATATGATTAGTCCTGAGAGAAATTTCAAGGTCTCGCAAAACTTGAGTTGATGTTGCATCGCCAACCATTTTTCGTTTCTGCAGGAAAAAAATAAATTAAATTAGTTCCACAATCTTCACATAATTCATAAAATCAAGTAATATCAATTCATCAACAATAAAATAAAAATTTCAGATAGGTATTTTGACATCAAGTGCCTCAAGTTTCCCAAAGCCAGAAAAATAAGATGTTTCTCTGTTCTGAGAAAATAAACAAAAAAATAAAATTCACACAAATTTCCAAGCAAACCATAACAAAATGAAAATGACACACTGAAAATGCATGCAAAAGAACAAAAATTGTTAGTCAAGATCATAATTTAGCTTATTTCTTTCATCTTGCCTCGTCATATGAAAATCCCAGCTGATCATGCTCTTCCTATTTTGCCATATATCTCAGGAATTAACAATCACTGCTCCCAATTTTCTCTGCTGAATTTCTTTACTTCCAAAGCACTATTACAATAGTCAAGAAAGAAAGTTAGCACAATTTGTAAGATTGCCTTATAACAGCAGTATCTATGGATCATGCACTGTGAGTTGGATGGATTTATATCCCCTACCCACTCTTCTTTTTCCATTACAGTTTTGATACTATAGAAATCAAAATTAAGATAATTAATTCTGATACATTATGATTTAGTCAAACCATTTTGGAAGAATATTTAGAAGAACTTTAATTTCAATAAAACAAAATAACATTATTTCTTCAAAAACATTACCTACCCTACAGAACATATAAAAGAGGATCATTCTGTTTGAACATCTTCCTTCTCTGTTTATTTTTGTGAAAATTATCTTCATTTAACGTTTTTGAAAAATGTCAACCCAACTACAAAACAACTATGGAGCATCTGGCTATAAAATACATACAATTACAATAAGGAAGACTTTTAGACTATACATAAATATTTTAGATGATCTGGTAGCACAGATGTTAATAAAGATTTTGAAAAGCAGAAATTATTCAAGTACAGCAGATATTTTAGAAAATGCAGAGTACTTGATACTGTTACCAACAAAGCAGCAATTGACTAAAACGTGCCTCTTCTGAAACCAGCAAGGTTGGCACAGATTGACAACTCCCAAGTAATAAATGAAACAGCAGGATAGCACATTTGTTAGGGAATTGGTTTCAGGATAGCATCCTCCCCTTTTTCATAAAACCAATTCTGATCTACATCTTTACTAGGGGGAAAAAAAAAAAAAAAGAAAAATCAAAGCCCTCTAGTAGAAACAGATTTAATTCAACATAAAATAGTATTCAAAGTTTGAATGCAGCAATTTTATACAGTGCAAATTTAAAACTCTAGTGCTTATTATTTACAAAATCATTAACTCCAGGTGTTACAGTGATGGGCCTTTAAGTGCTGATCGTATGTCAATGCTAAAGAATATTCTCAAAAACTCAAAATGGTTCAAAATTTCCCACTCCATGCACTATAATCTTCAATACAACATGCTTGCACAACATCATCCAATTTGGAGAAGCCTAATTCACACATTTACAGGAAAGAAAACTTCAATCTTATAAAATTATGATTCAAATAAGTTTGTAAAGGAAATATTATCTTTATTAAGATTGTTACTTTCACATTAGAATGAAACCTGAAAGGAACCCTGGAAAAGATTCTCTTAAATTTATTTTGTGCACATCAGTATCTAGCCAGGATTGATAAGTAATTTCATATCATATCAAATCATTTTTTATGGATTTAGAAAATAACTCTTAATTTTTACAGAATTTCTTTGAGTGATGCGCATTACATTTAATTTAAATAACTGCATGTTGTTCATGAATTTGTCTGGCAATGTATTAGGGGGTTCAGGAGAACATTTCAACTTTTCCGAGGTAGGGGATTGTCTATTGTAGGGGAAGTGTCAACTGTCATTTCTCTCTTGAAAGCATGTATTAACAACCTTCCAAAGACTCCCTTCCAATATTTTTGAAAGCATTAATAAAGATTGAAATTGGGGAGCTCGTGCGCTCAGTCAGTAGCACAGATAGAGGAGTAATTTGGAAGGGAACAAGAAAAGCCGTAACCGCACGTTAAAAAATAAAAAAAATAAAAATAATAATAATAAAAATTAAAATGTTTAAAAATGCATTAATATATCACGCTAAAGGTTTAAAAACCATTTCTACCCAACAATTACAACTACATTGAAATTTGTTAAAAACCATGTATACTGAATAATTTAAAATGGGGCCCTATCCATTTCACGAAATGTTTCGAAATGTTTGGGAAGCACCGCATCAGGCCGAGGGCAGTGCCACTCTGCTGGCAGCTTCCTACGATCACTTACTACGCTTCCACCGAACCGACGCGTCGCACTGAGCCCGTCGCGTCCCGGAAGACGGGGTGCGTTGAAATGCCTCCGACTATTGAGTGGCTGTCGAGCACATGGGGGGAGGTCCCGCAATCGTCCGCAACAGGCGAAAGTAATAATTATGCTTTACAAACTTTAAAACGATTCTTGCAGGTCGTACTTTTTTTTATTGAATGAATTTGTGTCTCCTCCTCCTCCACGAAACCTCGATCCAAAATTATGCCTAAGTATTTAGAAAGAAACTTTATAACAGTGAAAACTGCTTTAGCTAAGCCACTCGTGTACGAAACCTTCTGATATTCTATTTGACGCGACGTTACCCGGCAGCTAAGAGCTATAGCACTCTGATTATATAAGTGATGTTCGCAATATACAAGGAATGCTAATCAATACGATACAGGTAGGTGGGAGATTAGTTGAGATAAATGAAGGAACAAGCAGCGGGTGCTGGACTACACCGGCAAAACCTACCGCGATTCCACTTTGCCGACCACAAATTCCGCGTGAATCGATGGAACACAAGGCACCCTCGCTACGTCTCATCCCTTCTAGATTGTTCGTTTGAAATTTATTTCAATTATCCTTCAATTTCCATCAATGGAAACTAGAGTTGTAACGTGTTTGCCCAAGACAAACTGCTCCCCAAACAATTGCCCAACGGGCAGGGGCCCTACGTCGTCAAGAAGTTACACCCCGACAGTTCCGAAGCATTTCCGCTTCCCCCTAGCCTCCTCACAACTTCCGTATCGAATTTTCGGGCGGGCGGTCCCGTCCGCTGGGTCCCGGAGGAGGGGGGGGGAGGGCGTCCCGCCACAAAGGGCCGACCGCCGCAGGGCCGCCCTTCGTGTTTGGGGCGGTGCGGTCATTGACATGGCAACACTCCCCCGCGGCAGGGGCGAGGGACCGCCGCGCCGCGCCGAGCCGAATCGTCTGGACGGAGCCCCGTCGAGGGGGCCAGGAGGCAGGGAAGCAACGCGGAGGCGGGGTTTGGAAGAACGTTGAGCGATCGTTGAACGACGAAGGCCGCTCCACACATTCGGCGAATCCCGAGTAGTGTGGACGGGTTGCTCGCTATTCGCCGAGCGCCGAACATTCTATATACGCCCTAGCCACCGCGTGTCGGTCTTTGGGACACATCAAAGGGAGCCAACATTCGCCGAACTGATCAGCTGTTCGGGATTGGGCGAGCAGTGGCTCGCTGCACGGCGAATGCCGAATGTGTGGAGCCGCCTAAGATTTGCCAAGTGACGAACATTCGGTGCCCCCCATATCCCCGCGAACATTCACCGAGCACTGCGGCGGAGCAGGATTCGGCGAGCCCGACTGTTGCCGAATGTATAAACCGAGGAGAACGATGAGCATCTTGAGGTGGTAGATGTCGGGAAGGAGGTTTGTGGTAAGGTTATGTTGATTGATTTGGTGGATTCGAATACTGAAACAATCCGGGATTAGGAAATAACCTTCTCATAATTTTAATTCTAAACATGTCCCGTATCCACTTAAAAAGTATGTTCTTACTCCCAACTGAAAACTTTAAAACTGTTTCAATTTTTATCATTTTAATGAGAGATTTAATTTTCTTTTACTTATCACTGAATTCGAAGATTCTTCCACATCTCGTCTTAAGATACTTCCTTCCGTCTACTTTATAATTATTAATATTATTTTATATTAAATAGTATTCGAGTTCCGAGGGTATTTGTAATGCATCCTATTTTATTATGAAATTAAAACCGTCTTGAACGGGGAGAAGTGAGAAGTTTATACAGGGAGAAAAACGGAATTGTGTGGGAGTTGGTTAGTCGTATAGATAAGTTTGGATTTGATTAAAAAAGAAAAAAGGAAAGAACGGGAGAGAAGTATAATCTGAGCAAGTTTTCCTGACCTACGGAAATTTTCCCTATCCCTCATTTTATACATTTTTGAAGTATGATTAAAGGTACCAACAAGCGTGCTTAGCAACATTAAAAATAAAAAATAAAAAATCTCGTCAAGAAGAAATGGAGTTATACAGCGATTTTCGCAACTTCGCCCCTGGCAGATATCAGCTGTTGTTTCATTCAGTTGGAAGCTTAAACGTCACTCTAGTGACGTCACTATGGTGACCTTCAAGCTCCCGATTGGATGAAACCGTGAACAGCTGATACCTGCCAGGGGGCAGAGTTGCATAAATTGCAGAACAGCAAAGGTTACGAGTGTAAATGAGTGCCGAATAGTGATTATACGAACGAGGTCAACCAGAATGGGGAAGTTAAAGCAATGAATTGCTATGCATGCGTATTCTGTTGAATGTGGTTTACTGCAAGTGCCTCTTCAAAAATTAAATGTACGATGCAAGTTTGAAAGTTTTTCAGCAATGTCACCAACAGGAGTTTAGGCATTTACCAAGTGTCACCCAACCGATTATCGACGAGCGAAAACATCAATGGTTTCAAACAGATGTTGGCCACGAACAAGATGTGTAAAAAAAGACCATTTGGTTCCAAACACCCTCGACGCTTCTGCTAAGAATGTTTAGTTTCCATTTAAAAAGTGGAAGTTTCTACTCGGCAGCGCCTATGAGAAATCAACGGTCAGTAATTTCAATAATCACTTTTATTTTAAGGGTATTATAAATTTATTAATTTAGTAACAATTCACTTACTCTAATCTACAAAATTCTAAATTCCATTCACGAAACAAGGAAAAAAAACTATGAATTAAAATTGATTAGGTTTTATGATCCAGAAACGCCACAACCCGACCAAAAGATAAATCTCAGGTACACCCTAAAACAATACAGTTTCCGTTACATCTCCCCTATGCTATCTCGTTTATGGCAACAATGTTTCGTTCGCTATTGTTGGCCTTCTGACGCCTTGCGCAGTACATCAGGACTATCTGAACACTTCACCTGAGTTAATCCTCCATCAAAATTTCCAGAAAAAGAGGGGGCATCGGAGCAGGTGGGGAGATTCAAGTGCGGGCGCACACACAACAGCCACAACACGAACCCCAACGAAGGAGCAGAGAGAAGGGACAGGGCTAAACCCCACAGTGCAAGAGGGAGGAAAAAAAACAACTGCCAACTATCACGTTCTCTACTCCTCCCACATGCGTCATGATTCACACACACCACAGAAGACCTGAAACACACGCACGTTCCTTCGTTTCTACTTACGTGCAACAGCAGCTGGCCGGGAACGTGCACGCATGGAAAGTAAGACAAAGACTGACATAAATACAATTATGTTAGTATCGACTGGAAATAAACTCGGAGCTACATGGTACAATAAATATATAATACATAGCGAATATGAAGGTTGCAGTGAAACAAGCCAACGAAAGAAAAAATAATTCGTATGCTATCAAAAATTTCGATGATACAATTTATGTCCGCTTTTTAATAGTTTTGTACCGATTTAATAAATTATGCACATTTTTAACATCGTGCGAAATATCTTCGAATACATTTCTCAACATTTTGACATAAGAAAAATATTCAATTTCATTGCAACCTCTTTATCCTTTAAACAATACAATTATTTTAAGCAGCTCAGCTTGCAAGCTTGCTTCAACCAGTATATTTTACTACCCTTATGTAATGAAGTTCTGTACAGCTCTGGTTCTCTTATTAAAAATCTTCAACTATAATACCTTACATTTCTTGATAAATTTGCCTATCAATAAAATAACATCAAAATAGGATATTGGCTACAAATAACACAGGTTAGTGAAAGTTTTTAATAAAGGAAACTAGTAAAACTGGTGCAAGATTTGTTGAAATGCGTTTCAGTTTCTTAATCTCAATTGAGACCAAACATGAAATATTCTTTTAGTTTGCAAATCATTTATACAGCACTTTATCACCCATGAGATAAATAATCAATACCCATAAACATATCAGGTGAAGTCTGCCTTGGCCGTTTTAAAACATAAGCTTGGGAAATTTTCGCTACCGCAAGGGCACTGAAAAGTGTGGAGAAGTCTTGTGTGGTAAAAACAAAAAACGCTCACCAAAGCCGCTCGAACCAACTACTTCCAGCGCCACATGTCAAATATTTGCCTTCCCTGCCTTTTGTGTGTAAACTCGGGAAGAATGCAAGTTGCACGGTGTGCCGAGTACGGGCCTCCAGATCCCACGAAGGCAGAGTTGCCAATTTGAGAGAAAGTTGTAAAAGAGCCGAGCAAAATTTTAATGAGGTAATGAAGGTGCTCGTTCAAAAACACACGTTAAAAACAAAATATGTGTAAATGCTACACGTATCACAGCAAACTGACAGTTTAATACACTTTTATTATCCCATTACCTTATGGTTAATAAGAAAATCGTGTTCAAATGTGTTAATGTTTCTATATCCAAACCAACGAAATTATTAAACTTCATTCAGTCCCAGTTCTAGAAATTACCCAAAGGGACGAGCCACATGGTGCAAGTACTTTTTTATGCAAATCTTCGGATTCTATTTCAGTAAATTTTATTGTATTTTTCAATACATAATATTGTGTAATAAATTAATAAAATTTAAATTAATGCAAAATAAATTTCATTAGTTATTAAAACATGTGGGCCCTAAGAGATTGCGGGCTCTGTTCTTCTGCCCCTCCCTCTTGGATCCGCTGCTAAATTCAAAATGCGAATTAAACCATGTGATTTACGTTTGAAAGGCCTATTTCGAAATATCATTGACGAACTGCGAGTGCAAAATGTAATCTCACACTTAAGATCCCATGTCTCGAAGAGTCATGGGAGTGTGTAAAGCGCGAAGTAAAAAATATTAGATTTTATATGAATTTTACAGAAAATAAACCTCAAAGAAAAAATTAATACTTGGAAAATGAAAGAGAAATGGCCCTCCAACCAGGCAGACCAAACGTGTAACGCAATTTCGCACCTTTACCATCATTCGATACCAATACGACCTAACCAATATATCAATGTTTTACATTGTGGTAAGAGATCTTTGATCATAACAATTAGCAATAACAGCTTTTTTTTAAAGATTGATCTCTCAAATATTTTTAATGCTCAAAACAGTTATAAGTGTAGGTTGTGGCGTCTGCGCGGAGAAAATATTCATTTGCTGACGGAAAACAAGGTCACCAACATGGCATTTGCTAAGTTTAGCCTATGGTTTAGCAATGAAAACTATTCGACAAAATCAGTAGATGGGCATAATTGATCTAGAAGATGCCAGTATTTTTTTTACAGACATATTTAATGTTTTACAAACAGACTATACCAGGTAAATAATACAATACTGCCATTTCAAAAAATTAAATCCCCGATGGAGGCGTCATAATTTATAAAACAAATTTCCCCGTTTTCTCTGAGTTGTCCAGATCTTCAGACCTATTTCCACAACTGTATCGAAATCAGTTCAAAGGAATCCAACGTTTGACTACGGTGGTGACGATCAATCATAAAAGAGCAAACGTTTTGACCACTTGTTTCCCGACCATTTCCAAGAGAAATTCCCCGATTTTCGAGAAGGTGGCTGCCCTGGTTTTGTGAGCGTAGACTTCCGCGTTCGGAGTCAGTAACTACTCGGCTGTCGGAGAGCCTCCGTGACCCAGACGAAGGTGGCAACGTTTCGACCACCACTCTACGACTGGACTTTCGCCCTGAAGAAGGTCGCAGTGTGGCGGGCGAAGCGTCGGCACCTGTGCGCGTGCGCGTGGCGGGCCCCGCCCCCGCGAGGGCCAGCAACTCACCCTAGAGCTGCGCGACGCCTTTGGGTCGAGGTAGGTGCGCAGCTTGTTGAGGTAGTGCGCGGGCGGGTCCTTGGCGTGCACTCGTTCCTGCAACACACACACACAGACGAACTTCGTTAGCGGCGCTGCGAGGCGGCGCGACCGGTGCCAGGCGGGCAGGCGAGAGCGACAATGGCATTGTTCGGGCGCAGAACGCCCCAGCGGACAGTTTCTCAACCTTTTCACCAACGGAACCACATGACTTCATGTTTAAATACTTCTACGTATTGCATGGAGATTCTTTTCAACATCCAAAATATTGTACAATGTCAACAAGTTGACGAGAAAATCCATTTTTACATTTTTCAGAATATTTCTCAACCGGATTATATCGAGTTATCTTAGAGTGTAATTTTTAACCAATGAAGAAATCTACAAATTGTAATTTGTCAGTGTAAAAAGCTTAAAGAGCCCCTTGTATTACAGCCATTAGTTTGAACCATCATTAAGTAACTTGAAACAAAAATGCAATTGGTGAGATTAATCGAACAATGCACTGTTATCTCTGTACGACATCTCGTAAAGAAGACAATACTAGTGGTAATTTTTTGTTTATTCTAGATCTTCCGAGGAGTCCAACGCGTCCCTTCTTTAACACCTACTTTGTAAGCAGTGAATGAAAACAGTTACGAGTTAATTTTTGATTTGCAGAACAGAAATATACTTTATATTAAATAATGTGGATAATTGTGTGAATATGCGATGCATAGTGTTCCCATTATAACAGACAAAATACACAAAAGAGTGAATAAAGAAGTTCTTCGATATTCTGTAAAAATTATCAGCAAAAGAATAACATACTTTTTTTGTTGAACCACAAAAATGTGAAAATCGTTAATATGTAAGTAACGTTTGCTTTATATCAACTTTGCAATATAGAGTCACAGCACATTTGAATAGTTGGGGGAACGAAATATTTAAATTCATTTCAGCGCCCATGCATAGAAATTAGCTACTTGCCTTTTCTGTTTATTCACTAGGTAAAGAGTTACTTTGCGGTACGCGTAAGGAAAAGTAGACTTTGGCTTACGTGTACTGCAAAGATGCAATGGCAATATAAAACAATTGAGTAATGTAAAGTAAACAAAACACTGAGGGGCGCCATGCATCAACAGGGCTGCCTCTTTGAACTTCGAGAATGGTCTCACGATCACTTTCTTGTAAATTTACGTGATGTTTTTTTTTTAAAAGAAAAGTGTCTTTAGCATACTCCGTTTCGAAATGCTCAATATTTCATTTGTACGCCAAAGACTCACTTTCTTTACTAGTTACGTAAGTGACTAGTGGGGTTGGGAGGCTGACGAAGGCTCCAGACTGTAGCGAAGCGAAAAGCAAGACCGCTATTCAGGAAGAGTAAAAGACGGCGAGGCGCGGCGCGTCTGCGTAAGACGCAAAAGAATCGCGGAAGCGAGGGAGAGCAGCCGCTCCACCCCCTGCCGGCTCACTCGCAGCCCGCGCCGATGGCGCATTCGCAGGACGAGCAAAGATCCCTTTGTTCTGACGAGGCAGAGGGTTCGCACAATTGAACTGTCATCTGGAAAGCCCGCAGCACACCACCGTCTTGCGACCGCCTTGGGCTGAACAACGCACTCTTACGCAAGACGGGGCAATGCCCTGATGTTTACTATTGTTCGAAGACTGTGCTGCACCTAAGCGAAGTAGCAACGAGATGGTTCTCCCCTTTCTCGTGTAGAAGGGTAGCCAACAGTCGAAAGTGCAGTAACAAAACCTGTTTCTCCGTTGAACTGAAATCGAGCCTAAATATATTTACATTAAAACCAAGTCTTCATTCATTGTTAGAATCTACGACAAAATTTTGAATACGTTCCATGTGCGATCCGCATCTCCTTTCTTTTAATTCCAACAGAGAAGACAACGTTCAGAATGGAAACTGTGGAGGGTGCTGGAATAATTTAAGGGAAGGGGGCCTAACTGTGATGGCACGGGGAGGAGAGCTACGCAATAAAGCGGAGGGCACATGATTATAATATTGTGAAGTAAACCAAGGCAATTAACTTCGAGTAATGTGCACGGAATGTAGGTTAAGGAGCAACGAACAACGTTCTTTACTACCTATTTCTTACATAAGTAGTTCACAAAATTCGAGAACGGTACTAAGGAATGCAATTATTACGGTTTCATTTGGTTTATCGCTTCAGAATGTTTACGGTCCTTTGATCTCAACATTTCATAAAAGAGATAGAAAGATGCGTAGTATCAATAAATTGGCGGACATCATTTAACAAGTACCTTTTTAATAATACTGTAACTTATATCGAAAAAGCCTAATCAGAGAAGTAAGAAAAATGGATACTAACCGATTCCGTTGATTATAAACCTGTGCTAACGCCTCTGTTTATAAACTTCAAACACGTCCGTTATGTGCTGTACATAAGACTAAAGATGTTAATAAATAGAACAGAACAGTCGCGCACAAGAAATATTGACGCCGAAGTCACGTTCAACTATGCAAGAAGTAAAAGGAACCGATTTCAGATGGACAAAAAAGACATTTATAAACAGTATTAGTTCCTAAAAAACAAGAACCGCCCTGATGGCTTTGTCAGATGCTGAGGTTTTAAATACGTAGTAAAGAATAGTTAGTGTACCAAGAGCGTTATACGTCTTCTAATGATCCAACGGCGACAAAAAGCCCTCAGACTCTGCTGGACCCTTAGAACCAGTTAACGCCCGTCGTATATAGAATATTTTATTTGTTACCTAATTTTAATCATTCAAATTTACTATTTGACTAGATATTAACTTTACTGTTTGTCTTTTCATAATTCCCTCCACAAGAGAGCATGTACATCATTCAACTGCTGTAATTTCGCTCGTAACCAGTCTGTTCTCTCGATCCAGGTAAGTAGCGCAGTGTACATCGAGCTCTTTATCGAGGGCAATAACAAGCAATCAAGTATCAGTAAATAATAAACGACGTCTTTAGTGACAACGTGAAGCCCTCGGAAGCAATCAGTGCAGCGATCGGTCGTCGCGCCGGGATCAGAGCGCGCGCGCCGCCGCGGCCGAGGGTTCCGAAGCGGAAGCGCAGGCGGGCGGCGGCCGCCGCCACCGGAAGGCGTCGGGTCACGTGACGAGGGGCCGTGGCGCAAGCTAATCACCGAATTGACTCCCTCGTGCGCGCGGGGGGGGGGGCACGAGTCCCGGGGGCAGCTCGCGCACGCACGCGGCTCGGGGCGAGGTCACGCGTGGCGCACGCGGCAGGGCAGGCACACGCTCGGAATACGCGGACAGTTCTACTCGTACGTCTTCACGTCGTCGGTAGCGCTGGAGGAGAATTGCTGCTGGCTGCTCTGATCGGAAGATTTCCGTGGTTTAACCGATCAATACCCGGAGAAGTGTCCTAACTAACGGGCCCCTTCCTCTTCCTGAACTATCCTCACTCCTCCACACACATTCACTCTCTACACTACCACACTGGTGAGACCAGTAGGGAGCTTGGAGCTCGTACCCCGCTGGTGAGTTGTAAAAAAATCACCGCAAGCCGACGTGGGTCGGCGACAGATCACGCCTTCCAGCGAGGGAAAAATCACCGCCACCTCCCGAGCGAGCATGCACTAAACTTAAGGGACATATCACCTTAGCGGTTGACGACCCCGGAATCACTAATAGATCAATTTGAAACAGCGATGTTTGTGGCGACAACCACGTGATTAAAACTAAAGACAACAGTCCGCTCTTTATTCTTTTCCGGCAGTAAGGAGCGCCATTAGCTGAAATCTCGACGCACCGGGTTGTGGTTCACCGTATCCTACACGGTCGTCCGCGTAACCCTGTACTGGAAACATTTTCGTTAAACCTATTAAGGTGATGTGGTTCCGTTCAGCAGGAGGCGCGATTAACCCTGTGGGGAAATTTGTGCGTTTAAGGACGTACGTGAATTCTGCTACTTTTACTTCTTTTAAAAAGTGTCGAGAATCTCTGAATTTTTTCCTGTTCAACCCATCCCGCTTTTGTCACTCGTCTGTAGAGTAAGTTTGTTGAGGACGGCCTGGATCAGTGTCCTCTACTGTTCTGGTTGTTTGTCTCTTCTAATTATTGGTTGGCCAGCTGCCTCCCGTTCCCCAGAGGGCTGGGGGTGGGTAGGGCTAGGATGTTTTTAGTGTTGTGACGGGTTTTTGCGTTTAGGGTTAAGCTTTTGGGGGGTTTGAAGGAGGGGGTTTGAAGCCAAGACTCAGAGATCCGGAATGCTGCATTGAGCTACGTGACCGCTGTCCCTTTCCATTAATTAATATATACTCATCTCATTAGTGTTATTCCATCAAACTTATTTCAAGGTAGGAAAAGCAAACTGATGCCAGTGAAGTAATAGTGTGTACTGGTGGTTGTACGAGTAAAAGACAAGACGAGAGTTGTTCCAACTCCGCACAAGCAGCTACCGGAAATGAAACCCTGCTTCTCGCTCCCTTTCCGCCCTCGCTTCCGCAAAAAACGTGAACTGCGCCGTTTCCCCCAAGGTAATTTATTACGTTGCCGACGCTGCCGCAGGGAAACGTTTGTAAAGAGACACCGCAGACAAGAGCAGCATTTCGTTCTGTCAAGCTCAATGCTATCGGGCGATTCCACGGAATGCAACATTTCTCATAGCGCCGGCAGCTCCGAAGAGAGCGTATAGTATACGAAAGAACTGCCCATGTTCCAGGCTTTTGTCGAATAAATGGCATTTAATGTTTTCATTTGATTAAGACTTTGTACGTACCAAGTTATGGATTTCCCGATACTTCAATTTTTCAAGGATAAACTCCTGTGCCAAGAACACTCGATGGGAAGAGGGATTGCGAAGGGCGCGGCTGCGCATATCCCCCCCCCCATTCGCAGTCAAACGCAACTTCCCCTCGACTTATCTTTTCGTTTTGAGCTGAGTAATCTAGGATGAGCGGCCAATGGAAGCGAGGGCAAAGGCGGGAGATACTTGAGGGGGCGAAGCGAGGCGGGCGGGGCGGAGAGGGTTTGAGTCGGGACCGGGGCGGACCGCACGGGGCCGGGAACGGGGGCGGGACGGGCGGGACGGGGCGGGACGGGGCGGGACGGGGGCGGGACGCGGGCGGGACGGGCGGGACGGGGCGGGACGGGCGGGACGGGGCGGGACGCGGGCGGACGGGGCGGGACGGGGCGGGACGGGCGGGACGGGGGCGGACGGGGCGCTTTGTGCCAGGGCCGCCGGAGGTGAAAGCCGCTGCGTTTGCCAGAGAAGAACGCCCGCGCCAACGGGACTGCCGCCGAAGCGACGCAGCCCCCCCCCCTCCCCCGCATTCCCTCGCTCACTGCTCTTCCACACCTGCCAACCACCGTCCTGCCCCGTACGATGAAGCTTAGCAGTCAAAGCCCTCAACTCAAAATCAATTCAAATGTCTAGTAATATCACATTCAACACATTCATACAAATTGCATAGAATTGTTAATTCAATAAAATACATACTCAAACTTTACACAAACGACGGCGCGAAACAAAAGCGGCGGCGACGGCAGTGGTGGGTAGCTATGTTCACTTTGGTCCCCTTCATTGGGTACTAGCTGGGAGTAATGCACGCTCGTTCATACTACTCGCCAATCCCTGAGCGTTTAGCTCTGACTATTGAAGGGCGACAAAACATTTTAATTTCATTATATACTATTTTAATAATATCATTAAAGGATAAAGACACAAGAAATCGCCACTTCAAGCACAAAAGTAGGAATTCGAGGCTTCCCACTTTCTTCAAACCTGCAGACGTTCAGCTTAGGCGCGGTGGCCAAGTGGAGAACGAAGAATACGTCGAAACCATCTCATCCGTAATGGCACTGCAATAATGTGACATGGACAGTTTCTTCATGTGGACTTAAAGTGTTGTAAACAACTTCAGAGGAAGAATATCGAGTATTCATCACCCTGTCAAGTGTATTACTTTACAATTTTCAAGCGACTCCTTGGATAAAAATAGCGATTTAGAAATAAATCAATAAAAAAATTCAACCAATTGAAAATTGGCTATTTCTAGACAAGAGATGCTTTCTGAAAAAGTACACTAATCGCAAATTGAATTTCACGTAACGTATTTACTACTGCAGCAAGCTCAGGAATTTTAAGATTGTAATTACAAATTTCTTACCTATACGAGTAGAAATCGTGCTTGTTGCTTTCACTCTACAACGAATCAATGCCATGATTATGTTTTACTGAAAACTCCTTTCGTAAAAATATAAATTAAAATAGAACTACTGAATTTTCTAGAAAATATCGGGAGGGGACGTCATGTCACTGCCCTGAACGTCCGGCGCGGGGCTTTGCTGGGCGATAGCTGACGTTGGGCGCCGGCGGCCTCGCCATTCGCACGGGGCGACGCCGTTCACCCGCGGTTCGAACCGACGCCGCCCGTGCGACCTTTGGCCTCTGCGCCACACCTCGCCCTGCTTCACGGACGCTAGTTTAATTGAAATTCAGACCACGTGGGAAAAAAATGCGCAGACCGCTAAATGTGCCGAGTTTAATTGTGTAATGAAATGGACAATTTTGCGCGCACATGGTGACGTGTGTTTCCCAAATAATTGAATAACGATGTTTTAATTCAAAGCGATGCAAACCAAGTTAGAATATGATTTAATTAATAGCACAGCGTGGCTTACTGATGCATTCATTCTAGGTTGTGTGATTTTCCGTACCAACTCCACACCAAGAACGCTCGCGGTTTGAAATACTGAAACCTGTATTACAGAGACAAATACTACATATTTTACAGGTAAAAGAGATCATAAATTTTCAAAATAACCGGTTTTTGGAATTTCTTTGGTCATTTTGAACTGTCAATTGAACAAGATAAGATGTCTGACGTGAATGCCTCTCATATTTCACGTTACATTTAAGCGGTAATGACACGGAAGTGTTCGTATTTATGTACCTGACAATTCCATATTCATCTAAAACGTATTGAGCATTTTCAAAAGATTCAGAAGACAATATAGAGCCGTATCTTGAACATTCCTCGCCATCTTAACCTTTCATCGTTTGTACCAACTCGGTGGAACACTGAAAAACCATCCCTATTAGAAGTTTACGAGTTCAGGATATATTCTCTATTTATTTCTTACTACGAAATATTTCCGTCAATTTATTCAGTGATAATTAGATTTGAAATATTACACTAATTGTTAACCCCACAGAATCTATAACTATTGCCGAATACACATGACAAGTACTTCAGACAACGATAAACTGTTGATGTCTTTTGAACGACCAATATTAATACAAACTGTTGATGTCTTTTGATGACATTCTGTAGTTTATGATGAATGATGAAGTTAAAATACAATAGTATGTTAAAAAAGAGTGTCGTAAATTGCAAAAACGTTACTTTTCCCAAAGCTAACGAAGTTCGCACGGCACTAACAATTCGCTGCATTCCGAAGGAAACAATGGGCGACCATTACGTTCTGCTTGGAAATTTCTGGAGATTTGCATAATCCATTTGGGGGGTCTCTAGATCTCTCCTAAAATTAAATCCAACAATTGCAGTTTTCTTTTACGCTTCATGGCAAAATGCGTCTGTGCAAGAGCCAGCAGTGAAGTCCTGAGATGCATCTGACGACTTCGCAATTTCTGTCATTAATGAACTCGCAAGACTCGTTAGGAGTAAGTCACTAAAAAAACGTCACTGCAAGATACTAAAAAACATCAACAAAATTACGTCTAATGCTAATTCAGAGAAATGATAAAAAGTAAATAATTAATCATGGCGAGAGACAAGCATCACCTTTGGGATAAAACAATTATCACAGACCAAACATCCTGTCTCAACCGACCTGATTTGGTAAGCCAGAAGTTAAGTTGATCTATTCGACTCGTCGGTAAGAAACTGTTAAGAAATCTGTAATCAACTTAAAGTGTGTCGAGAAGTACTAGAATTATGCATCACTAGTTCAATGTTTAAGCGACATGTGAACCATGTGAGCATTATCTCGTTACAAAGAGCGTTGCACCAACTCCGATGATAATGAGGGCAATAATAATAATAACAGATTGATAATTGAATTGTTCTTACTCTCTTGCTAGGTTCTCTCTAAAAGTACTCTCCGAAACTATGAGCGCAACGCAGTTGACATAATTATGTGTCAAGCACAAATTTATGGAGCGAATAAATTTGTTTGAGAATGATTTAGACAATCTCCACGAGATGAAATAAAACTATGAAGTGGAAGCTCGTGAACTATACTACACATAGACCCAGAATGTTGGATATTTTTTCATCAACGACACTAAATTTAAAAAGAACTTCATTTCGACTTATTCAACCAATGCTGATTACGACGAACGTCGGAAGGTTATTGAATACTTCGAGTAATTAATTTAATTTAGAATATTTAATATGGAGCAATACATCAATTATTAAAAAAAGGTTTCAGCGTTTTCCTGACATTTATACTTTACCGGAGTTCTGCATGCATATCTTTTCGTGTGGGGGCGTCAAAAAATCACGCTCCAGAATTCCCATCATTTTACATTTACCACCGGAAATCGCCGAGGTTACCACTGCTCGTAGAGCTGGTTTGACAAGGAAATGCTTAGGAAATAAAATAAGTTTAAGTACATTCGAAATTCGACCCCCTAGTTGTCATGTTTCCGCAACTCGTTCAAACCACCTCTCTAAAATTAAAACAAAAACAATTTCGCATTTTACCTTCAGGGTTTTCCGTTAAATTAGTTCCAACTAGTGGCTTGGAACAGCAAAAACGCTTCTGAACATCACAAAATAGATTTCTAAAATGTAGCACGCACGAAATTTGTTCCACAAAATTTGTGTAAGAACTTGGCCAG